GCCTGTGTCATCCGCCGCTGCACCAGAGAGCGAGCCGGCGGCGACTGGCACCAGTGAGCCCTCAGCTTCCCCCTCCGGGCCTGGGCTACGCTGGGGGCCGCCCCGTCGCGGTGGGAGGACCGGAGGCGCGGGAGAGGGAGGGGACCGCAGACGGGGCGGTCGCGATCCGAGCCACCTCCCTCTCCGCACCCCCAGCGCGGGGCCCAGGCTGGCGTCTGCGCCGGCCACTGCCCACTTTCTGCCCCTCTGTCTACCGAGCCCCCTGGATTGCACCCCAAATGCGCCTCACCCGCACAGGACCCGGGCGGCGCAGGGCAGGAGGGGTCCTCCGCAGGGGCCACAGTCGCCTGCCCCTTGCCCTGGCGCCAGCTCCCCGCGCTCCTGGCACAGGCCCCCCGCCCTGTCTGGCTCCCACTCCCGGCCTGGGCGCGCGGGGGAGGGGCTGGTGCAGGCAGGGTCGCCAAGAGAGCATCCCTGCCCCAGATAAGGAGAGCCTGGCTCATCCCGCCCCGCTTCCAGCATTTCCCCCACCTCGTCTCTGCCATCCTTATCGCTTCTGACAAACGTGATTTACCCCTGTTCCGCCGGACTGTCAGCCAGCCACCCCACGGGGACGGGGAAATGAGTGTGTTGGGGGCACCGCAGGGACACAGCAGGTGCCGAATCAGTGCCTGTTAAATAGCAGAGCAGGGAGTGGTGGCCCGCATCTGTCATCCCGACACTCAAGAGGCTGAGGCAGGAGGATCGCAGCCAGTTGACGGACAGTCTGGACTACATAGTGAGACCCTGTCTAGAAAATAAAAAGTGAGTGGGGCGTCTGTTGATCTCTGATGCTGCTTGCCTGCGTGAGCCCGTGTTACTCTGTGTGCGAGCTCTCTCTCTGGGTCACCTCTGTGTCGCTCTCCCACGCCTCTCCCAGGTCCGTGCTCCTCCAGAGGGCCTGTCCCAGCTGGCCCTGCACACACACACACACACACACACACACACACACACCCAGCTCCCAGGAGCTTCCTGGGCCGGCCCAGCTCCCTTTCCCCACTTATCCGCAGCAGGGACAAGGAGCTGAGTGTGATCCTAGAGACCTTCGCTGTCACCGTGCCCTTTGCCCTGGCCACCCCCGGCCTTGCTGGCCACAGTAGGGAGAGGGTGACCCAGGAGCCAGAGATTGGGGTGGGGTGGGTCTCTGCGTGTCCCCATGGGAGGAATCACGAGGGCGCTCACCCCAGGCCATGGAGGCATTTAATCCTGGGGGACCCTCGCAGGTCGCACCCCCCAGGACCCCCTTGGGGACTCCGGCAGCTCCAGTTCCCGCGGCTCCCGAGTAGGCAGAACTTCGACGACCAATCAGAGCCAGGTGCGGGGTCAGAGCAGCCAATGGGCTCGCTGGGGGCATGGCGTGAACCCTTCTCGCCCTGGGTTCCCCTGAACCCACCCCCGAGCTGCGCCGACCTCCTTTTGCAGAGGGGAAGCAGCGTCTGGGGAGGGAGGAGGCCTTTTCACACCTGCCAGGCGCCAATCTCACCCGCAAGCTCTGTGGAAGACAAGGGGGCGCTTCCGGCCGCGGTCCTACGTGCATCTTTTTCCCACGGAGTGGGAACCCTGGGGACTCGGGCTGTGGCGTCAGGAGTCCCCGGGGCGCCCGAGCCTCCACCCCTGGCCGCCTCTGCAGCCAGATTCTTCTTGCTTGCTCCACAGCCTGCAATGGCTCCCTGGGTCTCTCGAGCAAAGCCTCACGTCCTCACCGCCCACCTTGCTGGCTTCAGCAACCCCACCCCGGCCTCCGGCCTGGAATGCTCTTCCCCCAGCTCTTCCCAGCTGATCACCTCCTAG